CGACATCCCATCTTGCTTCCTAAAAATTCTCATTTCGCCAAATTGCTTTTTATAAGTGAACACAAAAAACTTTTTCATTGTGGTCCTAACCATTTACTGGCCCTTATGAATAAAAGGAAGCATATGCTTATACTTGCAAAATTCAAAGTAAATACTCGTAAGTGCCCCTTCACACTGGGCTGCTCAGTAGGGCTGCCCTGCGTCCCGTCCCGCTGCTCAGCAGCGCTGCTAAGTCGCCAAGTGTAAATGGGGCATTTACGAGTATTTACTTTGAATTTTGCAAGTACCTATAAGCATATGCTCCCTGTTATTCATATGGGTCATCCAATTTCAGGCCGCAGCGTTGCTCGAAAAACATAATTGCATAACATGTTTTAGGTCAAAACTTTCCTTTCAAACTCCTATGATGGGAAATCTGCGTAAAGAACGGGTCATTCCAACTTTCCTTTTCATTGAACCGGCGTAGATTACGCTGGACCCTTTTTACTAAAAGATAGAAAAGGACGCGGGTGTAAAACATTTAAGGCTTGGGTTTGCCTCTTTATTTGTCTCACGACCAAGGCCATTCACCTTCAAATTGCTACTAGTCTTAGCTCTGAAACATTCGTTGCATGTCTTAAGGCCGGTCCAGACTTGTTGCATATCTTCGTATCGTGTCTGCGTATCGTACCCTTGACACGATACAGTGCAACAGCTACGCAACTCCAGACAGCACAAAGTATCCGTATCAAAAAAAGACACGGAGAGTCAATTGGGCTAATTCATTGTATCACAGTTCTTTATTTCAAGGTAGGGTTCATGTATACGCCAATCACCATATCTTAGAAAAACAATCTAATGTAAATAATAATGATAATAATGATTTATTATCCAACAGATGTTTATACATCCAATTACAGAAATTAAATATGGCATGATTGAAAAATAAACATAATATACTATAAATTGATTATCAAAAAAAAAATAAAGAGATATTTAAAAGTACGAAATGGCAAACCAATTAAAGATTTCTTTCTTAGGTATAGGCGTACATATTAATGAAATAGATTAATTACATCTGATAATGAGCAGATATTTAAATTACATTGTGTGCAGTATTGATTACAATTTTGTGACATCAAACACACTGGCGATTTTAACAGCAAGTCCGTTTTGGGTGTAGGATTAAGAAAAACTAAAGAAGTCAACTTGTAAAAAATATTATAAAAACTGTCTAAAAATAATTCAATCTTTCAGTTTCCAGTAAATACAGAATATTTCAAAGCATGTAGCTTAAACAGAGTACGTGTGATGGACGGACGGACGAACTACAAAGTGCAGCCAATAGCGATTTTTCACTTTGAGGAAAATACGCTAAAAAGGTTTATATAAGTTACCCCAACTAATTTTTTCATTTGAGAATCGGTACAGGCTATGCCAGAGACGCAGTTCGATCTCAGAGGGTTGGAGTATTCAGACCATCCAATCCAAGTAGTCAGGAAAGTGTTTTAAATACTTGGATTAAAATCGTATACTAAAAAAGATGTTTTATGCAATAATGACAGTTGTATCACGATAGATGAAAATATATGATTAGAGAAAGTTCGAGAAGGTTTCACAACAATTACGGCCAAAGTTATGGCGACTTTGGACTAAAATTTTAATACGTATCCTCGCCTTTAATCTAGATATATAAAACAGTGAAGAGCTGCCCTTAACGTATGCTTTGTTCGACCACAATTTTATATCAACATTAAAAAAGTCGTTAAAAATATATGGAAATTGGTTACAATTTAAACATGTTAATCATTCTCCCTCAGATTTCCCTAATTAGCCAATCCTCGTGGGATGTAGGATAAGGGTCTAACGTTGTAACTGTATAGCTGATATATTGATTATTTATTAACTGGGACATGCTGCCGATTTCAATAATTAAATTAAATAACATTGTATTGCGAAATTGCATTAACAAATCTGTTGTGAATTTCAGCTTCTGAATGGCAGCGGTATTTAAAATTTTGCAATGAACACTGTGTTATCTGGAAGCACTAGTAAGCAGTAGCACCATTTTGAAAAGAGACGAAGATTATTTCGTCACTATAATTTTCTAATAAATAATTGATTATTTTAACTCTGGAATCAAAGTTCTATGTTGTTGGGTGCTTCTAGCCACCCGTGGTCTTGCGGAAACAGACATAAATTATTGCTTCACCGTCTGGCGCAAGACCTTCTTCATCACCTTGTTTCGATAATAATACCTTTGGAACTTCAATATCGCGTTACAAATGGATATGATGGCTTCTTTGGAAAAGTAGGGACTAGTGAGAAGACTCATTAAGTTAAAATAAATTGTTGTTTTTAGTAGATTATTTTATGTGGAGAAAAAGTATTACCTTTCATGGTGCGCCTATGCGGACGAAGTGGCGACTGGTAGAACGCAAACCATGAAAAGTACCTCATCCAAATATCCTTCCTACTAAAAATTCCTGCTAGCAAAACGAGAAAAGTGCCGTTGTTTACAATCCTAGCCGAAATGTTCATTAACATTTACAACTACGCTTCATTAATAATTAATAAGAGCAACCGAGAGTTATTTTTTTTTAATATCCGCTCATTCCCTCAATAGCTTTATGTCCATCGATTTAAAAAAGAACGGATAGATCGATTACAATGAAATTTTGCAAATTTGTAGATCGGAGTTCGTGATTCGCAATGTAGACCAAAAAATGTGGAAGGCCCTTTTGTCATCCCCGTTAATTATGAACCGAATTGCATGAAATTCAAACTGGGAATAACCACGCACATCATTTGGCATCTCCGTAATTTATGAATCTCAAATTGAAACAGATCCATTACCATATCGATTGTAAAGTCACCGCTTTGCCACTTTTATTTAATTATGTATCGTCAGGGTGGCTCAGCTCGTGCATGGTCGTGTGTTAGCATATTCAAATAATGTGTTTATCCAAGAACAAATCCCGCCAGTATGCGGACCTACCCAAATATATAATTTCTATAAAAACACTTTTCACCCACCCTGTACTCCTATGAAATCTTATCCTGTTCAATTTTTCAATTCCAAATATACATTTCAGCATTTCCTTCTTTTTAGCGCAGGAAAATGAACGCTATTGTTCGCACTTTGTCCGTCTGTAACACTACTAGTCTTCCAATTTACGCTTTTTCGTTTCTTTATTATACAATGTAGTACAGTCCAGAGACCAGAACTACACAAGTTTATTGGGATCCTTCCCGAGTTACTACCGATTATTCATCCTTCATCATCGTTGAAATGTTTTTCCACTTGTTGCCAGAGAGTTTCTGGGGTGTCCCATTTCGTCCATGAAGTTATTAAATTGGTCATATGGCAGGTTGTATTGTTTTGCCTTATCTATTAGGTGTTGGTATTTTTTCGGTGCTTACTTCTCTTCCTTGGTTTTTGAGTTTCGGTTTATTTTTTTGGTTTTGGTGGTGTTAAATTGGCATTTTAATAGGTTTGAATTAGTAGGCTAAGCCGTTCTTTAACCGTAAGGATAAATAAAGTGATCACTTTCACCGTAAGGGTAGATACAGTGAAACAGATTACTGTGCATTCTAATGACATCTGTCATTCTTATTTCAAATACATGATATAAAATGACGTTCAGAACATATGACAATTCTGCTTCTATGGAAACGATCGCGACGGCAGAACCTCAGTTTGCTATTTTTGACGTCTCTAAATTAAATTCAGAATTGTCAGAAGCTTTACAATAATTTATATGGCTTCTGCTATAAAATAAAGTTTTGTATTATACACGACGATCAAGGGAAACTACCCATCTCGTGAAAGTTAATCTCACATCTTTCACGCAATGGTTAAAATATCTCTTTATCGTCTTGTATAATAAACTATTCTTCCATTTTGTGGTTTTTGGGTCGATAATCTCCGGATACGTATGTTTAGCGGTTTCTGACAACTGGCGTTTATTTTCTGATTCAATTGTTGATGAAAGGAGCTGATACCCATTTCCAGTGATGGCTTTGCCTGTTTCAATTTGGGATGCACCGTTGCTGGCTGATGGGGTTTGTTCGGACGCTTCTTGGGTTTCAAGCTTGTTTAAGTAGGTTGTCGAGAGATGTCCAGATTGCTTACAGATATAGCAGTACGAATCTCGAGACAGGAAAAGTCAGTAGTCTGTTTCTTCATATTTAATAAGGGTTGATTCTGGAATGTTGTAGTTGAATTGTAGTGTTAAAGATGCTTTTACATTGTTACCTATTTAAGCTGTCGGGAATTGCGGCGAGGTAACTTAGGTTCCGCGGCTAACTCTCGCGCGGGCGTGGTAGTTCTTCAGAACGAACTCTAAATGAATGCTCGGGAGGCGCCAGGTCCTTATTCCTAGTGACTCTCCTGCCGGACCTACAGGAAGGGTATTGCCGCAATAGAGAAAGGAAAGAAAACAAAATGTGCGCCACTAATGAATATTTAATGTCAAATAAAACTAATTAAATTGTTCTTCTACTATCACAACGAACTGAACCAGCGTAAGGTGACTCGAAGCGGCTTTAAATTTCGCGGTGACTAAAGGGACTTCTCCAAGAACCCCCTTGCCGACTAATACGCAATACCTTTTGGTAATAATGACCACTGATTAGGTCGGCCGAACCCTTGTAGGAAGCGCTTTCTACCGGTCGCACCCTGTATAATATAAATTAAGTGACAGTAGTTCGGATAGGCTGTAATTTGGAACTACTGTAGGTAATTGAGTCGGGAGAAACAACCCCGATGTTAGAATATGGGCAACAATAAACTAATCGGGATATGCGATTATGCCAGCGTTAAGGTGTTTTCGTTCTTTGTGATTCTCAGAGCGTCTTTGTGCGTCAGCAATAGCTGGGTTGACGGTACGACGAATCACCTTTACATACAAGTAAGTGACAACAACATTTGTTACACAAATAGTGGCTCTGACTCCCAAAATTTTATATTTTATAATACTACCAACTACACACTTCATTGGCAGTGGCTCGTACCACCGAATAACTATTTCCAACTGCCCGCCTGTATCTACAAGTATGCCTCCAACTGGCTAGACGACTTCCCAATGGACGACACACATAGGTTACATGAAGACATACCAAGTCGTTGAGGGCTTCAATAACTGGCTACCTAACTTAAGCGTGGACTGCGAAGATGTTGACGATGTCTAAGTAACTTCCGATATCAGGGACGCTATATGCTACGGGTACGGAATGACTAACAGGTGACACGAACTTCAACCACTTTGTTTTTCCTAGGTCTCGGACAACGTACCTCTCACTAAAAGCTATAAACTACTCATAGAATGACACAAACGACGTTGGACAACTACATACCCAGTTCGGCTTTAAAAGTAAGCGGCCTTTAAATCCCCAATACTGGGTAAAATTAATTTATGAATGCTTGTGCAACTAAAGATCGGTTAACGAATTTCTTTCAAAATTTGTATAGTTTGCACAGCAATGGCCGTTCATAATCTGCCTTTTACAACGGTCTCCTTTTTTAAAAGATAATCTAACTGGAATGTGACCTATGACATCCTATATGATAGCTAGTGACGAAAATATCCTAAGAATATGCAACACATCGTTCACATCATACAGGGTGATTCCTATAGTACCTGCCACCGTTTGGGAGCGTGTAGGTGGTGCGTAGGGGAGTATTTTGATATAGGACACTTGGGGTCGGAAATCTAAAATAAGGGTGCCAGAGCCAAATTTACCTTCTGGAATTTCACGCCTGTATGTAGGCAACCCAACCGACCGACGTTTCGCGCGGAGCGATGCAGAGCGAGTTAGCGCGAGGAAGCGACATGGGAGGAAAGGAGGGAAAACGACAGTCAAAAGCAATAACGTTTACAAATGTTCAACGTGGCCACCGTTGTTCTCAATGCACTTCCTACATCTAGCCAACCACTCCCCTCGAACTCGCGTGAAGACTCCTATGTCCTGGCGAACAGCCTCTCCGGCCATGACGACGCGCGCAATTAAGTCCTCTTCGGATTCGACGGGAGTCTCGTAGACGTGCGCTTCCATCACACCCCACAAGTAAAAATCTAATGGGGTGATGTCGGGCGAGCGGGCAGGCCACTCCACCGCACCTCCACGGCCGATCCATCTGTCCGGATAGGTTTGGTCCAAGTGTTCCCTCACCTGTCGCCCGTAGTGAGCAGGGCACCCATCGTGGCGGAACCAGTGGTCCCAGTACAAGTTCACTGGAACATCCATTAAAAGTTCTGGTAGCACCTCGCGCAGGAAAATCAGGTAATTATGGGCATTTAGACGCGGAGGGAGGATGTAAGGCCCCAGTAGGTTGTCCCCCAGGATGCCAGCCCAAACGTTTAAAGAAAACTTGTCCTGGTATCCTCGCGTAAACGTTTCATGAGGATTGTGCTCTGGCACCCTTATTTTAGATTTCCGACCCCAAGTGTCCTATATCAAAATACTCCCCTACGCACCACCTACACGCTCCCAAACGGTGGCAGGTACTATAGGAATCACCCTGTATATAGTATGACCCATTAGTAACTTAGGGTGAATTTAACATGTAACAACATACGTAATAGGCGATACACAAGTGCAAGATTCAATCCTTTTAGTGCATTTTCTGGTACTGTGTTAGGAATTGTTGGACAGACGTTAGATGTGAGTAGGCGTATTGCTGGTGTATTCAGCTTATATATTTCTATATTTATGTTCCGTATTTTTATGGGAGATTTTTGGCAACAAAGTTGTCTGCAAGTTCTTTGGATGATAAGTATACGCATATACGATTGTTGGAGATACGCGATGCAAACTGAATGTTCTTGTTGTTGGGTTCCGTTTTTCGGGCAATTGCTGTTATCTAAAATTAAGCCATCAACTGCGCTTGCTCTTTTGTGGGCTGTATATTTTGCTGAAAAGTTTGGGTTTGGGGGTTGGATTTTTTAGGGCGGCCGCGAAGTGTTGAGGTGGGATACTTTGATTTAGGAATGAGATGTTTGTATGGATGTGGTATTCATATTGGGATTACTTATCTGTATATTAATATGTAGTTTGTATGACTACGCAAGTGGATTATAATAGATTTAAATTCAAAATGTAGCACGTGTTATGTTAAGATTAGATTGCAGAAACACTCACCACACGTTCTCTCGGAACAACGTTCACTCCGAAACTGTAAAGATTTAATAAACAAAGAAAACATTATTAGGCGCACAAACGCATTTTAACGTTATAAATTGCAACCAGTATGAAGGTTATAATACATAACAAAACAAAGAAGGTAATAAAATACCTCCAAGTCAAATCAAGAAATTAATTCGTGAACATCATACGATTAAAATGAAAATTTTAGCAACCAAATCGAGGTAGGTACACTCACAATGGCACATAAGTCATAACCACTTTGCACCATAACTATGAATATTTTTATTATTAAGTTAATATTGGGAAAAAAGGAACATTCTTTTCATCTTAATCCCACACTGATGTAAAAATTAAAATAACTGTTAATAACCAAGTGTGAAGTCTCAGATAAGCTTAGAATTTATGTTTCTGAACAAGTTAATACTGTTTATTAATATCCTAATAATTAATATATAGTCGTATATTACATTAATATCCCGCAGTTAAATAGGAAAGTAGAGGTTCTTAATAAATAGTCGTTTATCGGCGATCCTCTACTTAATTCGGTGTATTAAACTCACATTTTAGTCAAATACGCTGTTATGCCAAATTGAACGACTCATAAAATAAAATATAATAGTTTGCTTATAAATATTTATTATTTATTAAATAAGGATGTTTTAGTACGTGTATTAGCAACGTTGTAGACGTTGTTCGATGAAAATTATCTTTAAAACAAATCGATAACATTTTCAATCCATTTATCACACTACGTATGTGTATTAGACAGCATGTTACTCTCTGTTACTATGAAACTTCAATTATGATTGAGCGCATTGCACGACATAAAGCAAAAATTAAAACGAAGCGGTGCTGTTATTGTTGACTCCATTTACAGACGAAGCAGCCGTAGGAAATAATATTCATGTCCTGTACGGTAGTTTTTAACGAGTGCTTCAATGTGTGCAAATACACAAACGTATTGTTGAAAATGATGGATATTCAGGGCAAATGTGCTTTTTTATACAATGATAGAGAAGTTGGACATAGTTCACCTGGAGCTACATTATAAAATAGAGAAAGGGTAATGAGTTTTGTAATGATGATAAAAGAGATGCGATTTTCGCGTAGACGAAAAGTAATCGTAAAGATGCAATTCTATACACGGTAGGTACACTCTCCTATTGCAGCTTGGATAATATGCAAATGTATAAGAAATGCATTTAATTAAAAATATTGCAGAGTATATACGAAAAAACGAAGCTTGAAGAGTAATTCGTTGAATTCATTATACAAGGTGCATTTTTGCTAAGAGCTATTCAGTGGATGAAATTAACATAGTTGATATAGAGGAAACGCTGAGTTACTCAGAGAAGGGAAAGGAAAGTAGAAGAGATGTTTGCAATTTGCTTTAATATATAAAAAAAGGAACCACAATTGTTTATTGTTTCTAAAGCGATCGATTTCGGGTTTAACCACCCATCATCAGGCTACCTATGCTAAAAAATATATCACATGAATTTGAAGTTGAACACAGAATTAAAATTATTACCGTCAATTTGAATTATATAAATGCAGCGACATTGAGTTGAATAAAATTGGATAAAAAGTATTAAAATTACATTAACGAAGACAATAGGTACATCGTGAACATCTTGACTAGGGTTACATCTGAAAAAGTAAGTAAGGTGAAAACGGGCATGTAAGGGTGTGTGTGTAAGTGTGTGTGTGTAAATGTGTATGGGTGTATATTTGAATTAGTGTTTTATTTATTCTATGAAATACCTTATTTGGCTGCAAATTATAAAATTTATAAAATTTTTTAGTTCTTAAAAGCACATGTTGAAAATTGGTTATTACTTATGACAGGAGAAAAGTTATAGGTTATGGTAAGATTCATAGGCGTACGGTGTGACATGGGCGTAGTATGGGATGGGTTTCTGGTTGTAGGTTATGTATTTTATGGTTGTATTAGTGTTTGTGGATTGGTGTAATGTAATTGTAAATGTGTGAGTATGGGAAAATAGTGTTTTCATTGAGGAGAGTGTGAGGGTTTTGTGCTTTGTGTTTCTCTATTTCGTAGTGTTCGAGTATATTTAGTTTTGAAAAGCTTACACCTCCACAAAACACTTAACAAACACAAAATCTCTATCATTTCCAAATCACACCCAACCTTATCTAAAATACTATCTAATAATAAACCCAAAGAGAATCCCTTAACCAAGTCAGGTATATACAAAATTCAGTGTAAAGACTGTGAAGCCCATTATATAGGACTAACCACCAGAAATATTAATACACGATTCAAAGAACACATATCCAACAGACCTAAATCAGCAGTTGGCACACACCTCCTCGAACACAAACACAACACCGACCTAGAACATACATACCTTCTACACCCCTGCAATATTTTCAAAACTAAATATACTCGAACACTACGAAATAGAGAAACACAAAGCACAAAACCCTCACACTCTCCTCAATGAAAACACTATTTTCCCATACTCACACATTTACAATTACATTACACCAATCCACAAACACTAATACAACCATAAAATACATAACCTACAACCAGAAACCCATCCCATACTACGCCCATGTCACACCGTACGCCTATGAATCTTACCATAACCTATAACTTTTCTCCTGTCATAAGTAATAACCAATTTTCAACATGTGCTTTTAAGAACTAAAAAATTTTATAATTTGCATCCAAATAAGGTATTTCATAGAATAAATAAAACACTAATTCAAATATACACCCATACACATTTACACACACACACTTATACACCCTTACATGCCCGTTTTCACCTTACTTACTTTTTCAGATGTAACCCTAGTCAAGATGTTCCCGATGTACCTATTGTCTTCGTTAATGTAATTTTAATACTTTTTATCCAATTTTATTCAACTCAATGTCGCTGCATTTATATAATTCAAATTGACGGTAATAATTTTAATTCTGTGTTCAACTTCAAATTCATGTGATATATTTTTTAGCATAGCCTGATGATGGGTGGTTAAACCCGAAATCGATCGCTTTAGAAACAATAAACAATTGTGGTTCCTTTTTTTATATATTAAAGCAAATCTCAACGAACCCCAAAAAATGGAGAATTACATTACAAAGATATTTGCAATATTATAATTGAAAAAAACGTGCTACCTTTTTGAAGCTTTTTTTTCAGGATTACAACGTTCATAGCAATTTAGAGCATTTGGCGATTGAGAAATTCTACAAAATAACCCTTTTTCTAATATGGACCACCGACCGTATATAATATTTAGATATTTTCAAAGAAAATTAAATTCTGTATAAAAACTCTTTGATACAGAATCCACATGCATCTCTGAATGGAATATCCACAAATCAATGCGATTTCAGAAATTTAAAACAAAAATATAGAAAATCCTTCAAGCAAAAGTTCTATACTGTTGAGGAATGTATGGAAGCTCCTTAATCGCCGCTGAAACTGTGA